GCAGTGAAATGTATAGGATCCTGGGCCTAGGGAAGAAAAAAACTGCTTCTCCCTACCCTGCTAAAGACCTGGACTGGTTTTTGTGTGCTGTCTTAAACATAGCACATATTTTGTAAACTCAGATTGTACTTTCAGTGAGGTTTACGCAAGGGTTTAAATTTCTTACTCAACCCCCATTCCCTTACATTTGGTCAGTCTCCATTAAATTCCAACTTGAGCTGTTGCTTTTCAAAACATGAAGGTGGTTGTGTCTACCTACAACTTGCCTTTTCTTGTTATGATTATTGTTAAAAATATCCCTAACATGACCAGACATTTATTTGGCAATGATGGGGATTATAGTTTTGTTCCTTACTTTATTAAAGAACCAAGTACTATTTTTTCATTATTAGTTAGTGCTTCCCTACTTCTCTAGTATGGGATATGTTTTGCTGATATTACTGATTGCTCTTTTTTTTTTTTTTTTTTTTTTTGTTTTTTTTTTTTGGTCTTTCGGAGATAGGGTCTCCCTGTAGCCCCAGCTGTCCTGGAACTCACTATGTAGACCAGGCTGGCCTTGAACTCACAGAGATCCACCTGCCTCTGCCTCCTGAGTGCTGGGATTAAAGGTTTGTGCCACCACACCCGGCCCTATTGATTGATTGCTCTTTAATGCATTCATTACATATATTTAATTATTGCAATATTTTTTAATATTGCAAATATTGATTCCTTCTGGGTATCATCCTCTGGGGCAGATGTTAAGTGGCCTGTATTTCTCCTCTCAAGGAATTGACAAACAAGCAACTTGGGCTATAATTCTCTCTTCTCCTCTCACCCTCTCACCTCCTCTCCCCTCCTCTCCTCTCTTCTCTTTTCTCTCTCTCTCTCTCCTTCCCTCCCTCCTTCCCCAACTCCCTCCCTCCTTCCCTAACCCCTCAATTTTCTTTTGAGCTAAATTCCACTGAGAATGAAATATTCTGAACAATTCTTTTGGGTGTTATGAAAACAATCTTTATATCTTTGCTCCAGAAATAACTTAAGCATGTTGGTGACATCTTGACATTTCAAGAACTCACATAGGGAAAGAAGGACTTCAGGGACTCCATGAATGGGGCTATTTCATTTCAGATTTAGGTTTCTGCCTGTTCTTTGTGCATGAGCCCATAGAAAGCATTTGACTGAGGGAGAAGCTCCCACAGTGCATTCCTGGTCTCAGCATCCTTGCTGGTCAAGAGCACCTGATTCTTCTTACCTCCAGTGTTAAGCAGTTCTATGAATAGCTCTTTCAGATAGAATAAGTTATCTAGCCAAGGAGAAAATATGTTTTCCATTGGCAATCCAGGGCCCAGGGAGTACCAGCCTCTGCAGAGGGTCCTGGCAGCCACCCATAAGTGAGCCCTGTGTCCCTGGGCTATTCTCTCCTTAGCACATACAGAAAGAAATGAATGAATCTGCAAATGCATTCTGCTCTACCCTTGACTAAGAGAGAGCTGGAAGAGTGTATTTGGACCAAACAACAAAAGAAAATTCTTCCAATTTCTGCTTTTGTTAGATGGACCAGTCCAAAATATATTTCTGCACTATTCTGTAGAAAGGCTTAATGGGGGGAAGATTCAGTATCAGATAATTCTGATATTTATAATCAATACTGAGTTACTACTTACTAGGAGTCACATACCCTTCTAAAACTCAGCCTAAAAAATAGGTAGCATTATTATTTATGTTTAACCCTATGTCACACACAGTTGTGGTGTTTGAATTCCTCAGCTATTCTGGGGTAACATCTGACTCATCTTCATGATAATGAAGGCATTTGTTGTTGGGGAATCCTGCTACTAGGGTTGTAGTCCTCCATGTCCGGATAGCTCTAAGGGGCTCGGCACTATATGGAAGGTCTCCCCTTCTCAGTGGGGGGGCCTCCTGCTCTCTGCCTGACTTACCTGATAAGTGCCGCCAAGCCTTATTTACCTGACCTTATTTGGAAAATGACCTTTGGCTTAGTTACCTGGAGTAGAAACTACCCCCAGGTTTTTTCTATATGATAATTAGGCATTGCTGGATAGATGATAGGAGCCTACTGCCACATGTAAATAAAGCATACTATGAGCACCTATCAGCTGAAGCATTGGCTACTGCCTCCACACTATATTTTCCCTAACCCCCACTGAATAAACGGAGCTGTTTCACTGAATCTGGAGCTGTTTCACTGAGTCTGGAGCTGTTTGTATCACTAAACCTGCCTCCCCGGAAGGGCTTTCTTCCATCAGTGCTCACTGGCTGTCCCTGACCCCGTTCATCGCTTCTGCTCCCTTTGTCCTCGTGGACCAGTGGCCAATGACCCATGAGAATAGGAAGAGACCCCACAATTTATCATCTTCATAATAATGAAGGCATTTAGAATAATGGGCATTTAGAATTTTTCTTCTCATTGGGAGAGACTTCTCAGGCCTACAACTAGCCTGTCTCTGTGGATCCTGATTTACCACTTATGAGCAGTGACCTTGTTATTGTCTTCTTAGTGTCTCAACTTCCAGATCTGTAAAGTGGGTACTATGCTGGGACTACCTCAACAGTTGTTGATGCTTTCTGCACAGTACCCATGATCACTTTCTCGGTAGCCATTTTTAAAGGCTCATTTTATTTTTAATTATATGGTGTGTGTGTGTGTGTGTGTGTGTGTGTGTGTGTGTGTGTGACTGTGTCTGTGGGTGTATGCAAACAGTGTGTGCCTGTCATTGGATCCCCTGGAACCGGCTATAGGCAGTTGTGAAGTCATGAATCTGGAAACTGAACTTGGGTCTCCTGCAAGAGCAGCAAGCACTTTGAACCGTTGAGCCATCTCCCCAGTCACAAGCCATTTGTTTTTAATATCCAGAACTGTCCAACACTGCAGTTGTGCTGGGTTGTGTGGATCCTGGACCTCCTGAACAATATCGCATTCCAGTGTGTTTGCGAATGCTGTCACGTCTGCACAGAATACTGCTTCCCCTTCCCCAGTAAGAAAACGATCCTTTCTCTTGAGAAGTTTGGCTTAAATATTTCTTTTTCATTCACCTTCCTTTAATGTCCACCCCACCTCCTTTTCTTTGTGATCTTAGTATCCTTGAACTATTCAACTATCAAATGACTTACTGGCTAATAACTATTTAAATTGTATTGAGCAAATGCTCAGTGATGTGCCTGGATATGTACCATTTTTCTTATTATTCAAATGTATAGTGAATCTCAATTCCCTAGGGGTAGAGTTTTATCTTGTTGAAAAAATTTTTTTTTCCGTCTCTCTCCTCCTGTGGACTTTGACAGTGGTTTATACACCTGTATGTACTTGTCTCATGGACCTGGCAGAATTCCTAATTAATACACAGTGGGTACTCTATAAATGTGCCAGTGTATATAGTTTAGGTGAAATATTTACACCCAAATAATAAACTTATAATCATTTACTCCTCTTTAATATAATCACAATGCTTTGCCTAATTAGGGAAGACAGAGTGGAGAGAAGTTAAAATTATACTCTTTCCAGACTCTTTCCAGGTAACAGAACTTGCTGAGAGACACACAGTGGTGAAATGACTAAGGTGGGCATCATCCACCTGATTGCAGAGCCCAAGCCCTTAAACATTGCATTATACTGCTGACGCCCCCCCAGCCCTAACACCCTTATATGAACAAATTATGTTGGCAATTATGATGGATTGGAATAGCTGCAATTTGACTTTAAATCTACCACACATTCAGTGTTGTAATTCATCAAATCTACATTCCTATGATACTCTGTGTCTATGTGGGGGGGATATATATGTGTGTGCTTGCGTTCATATATGTGCCTGTGCCTGGGGAAGTTAGAGGTCAACCTTAGGTGTCATTCATCAGGCACTGTCTATCTTGTCTTTTTGAGACAGGGTTTGTTACTGGCCTGGAGTTCACAGAACAGGGTAGGCTGGCTGCCTAACAAGTCCCAGGGATCCCTTCCTCTGCTTTTCCAGTGCTGGCATTAGAAGCACCCACCACTGTTTTTGACTTTTTACATGGGTTCTCCAGTTGGACTCAAGTTCTCATTGTTTTTTAAAAAACGTTTTTTGATTTATATTTATTTTATGTGTATGAGTGTATTGCCTGCATGTTTGTAAGTGTACCCATGTCATGTAATGCCCACGGAGGACAGAAGAGGCACCCAATCCCTGGAACTGAAGTTATGGATGGTTGTTAGCCACCATGTGGGTGCTGGGATTTGAACCCAGGTCTTCTGCAAGGATATCCAGTGCTATTAACCACTGAGCCATCTCTCTAGCCCCTAAAGCCCTCATTCTTATAAGGCAACCACTTCACAAAGTGAGCTATCTCCCCAGACCCAAATCTATAGTTAAAAAACTTCATAGTACTTTCTTTCATCAGCTCCTCAAGTATTTAGGGTAATTCTGCCCCCCCCAATCAAATATAAATTGATAGTACAGAGGGATAAGGTAGAAGGAAAACAGCTTCTAAATCGAACAAGCACAAGTTTGGACCCAGTTAAGTCACTGGATGTGTGACTGGGCTCAGGTTTCAAAGCTTCGCCTGGTTTTAGCCTCTCCTGTAAAACAGAGATAATAGAAGACACTGGCAGTATGTCGTGAAGTTCAGAAGTACCGTAATACCTATTGTTAAGTCTCCAAAGATGATAGTGATGCCCCATGACTTGCCAAACAGCTGCTCTTACAAATTGTTTTCCATAGCTCCCCATGGCTTTTGTCCCAATCCTTCATTTTAATTCTCAGGGCAATTTAACTTTTATATTATTATTATTATTATTATTATTATTATTATTATTAGATGCTTTTAGTAACTTGCCCCATAGTCATTTTCCCAGAAATTTAATCTCTTCTCCACAGGGTCTTTTCTGAGATTAAGGAGAAAGAAGTGGAACATTTAGAAAGTCAGAGCAATTTTCATTTACATGTCAATCACTGTTTTCATTCTCCCATCGTTAATGTCTTCTGTTCTCTTTATCAGCTAGTTGCTTCTATCAGACTCACATGGCCAGATTCTCCCATTTTCTTGCAAGATGAAAGAAGGGAACAATGAATGAGTCACTGGACAGTTTAGTAAATGATTCTGATTCCCTGGATTATGTTGCTGCTTTAGGAAACTGCACTGATGAACAAATACCATTCAAGATGCAGTACCTCCCCGTTATCTATGGCATCATCTTCCTCGTGGGCTTCCCGGGAAACATAGTGGCCATTTCCATCTACATTTTCAAAATGCGGCCCTGGAAGAGTAGCACCATAATCATGTTGAACTTGGCCTTGACAGACTTGCTGTATCTAACCAGCCTTCCTTTCCTCATCCATTACTATGCCAGTGGTGAAAACTGGATCTTTGGGGATTTCATGTGCAAGTTCATCCGGTTCGGCTTCCATTTCAACCTGTACAGCAGTATCCTCTTCCTCACCTGCTTCAGCATCTTCCGTTATGTAGTCATTATTCACCCCATGAGCTGCTTTGCCATTCACAAAACTCGATGGGCAGTGGTAGCGTGTGCTGGGGTGTGGGTCATTTCTCTGGTAGCCGTCATACCCATGACATTTCTGATCACATCAACCACTAGGACCAATAGATCTGCCTGTCTTGATCTCACCAGTTCTGATGACCTCACTACCATCAAATGGTACAATCTAACATTGACTGCGACCACTTTCTGCCTTCCCTTGGTGATAGTGACACTTTGCTATACAACAATTATCAGCACCCTAACCCATGGGCCTCAGACTCACAGCTGCATCAAGCGGAAAGCTCGAAGGCTAACCATTCTGCTACTCCTTGTATTTTATATATGTTTTTTACCCTTCCATATCTTGAGGGTCATTCGGATTGAATCTCGCCTGCTTTCAGTCAGCTGCTCCATCGAGAATCACATCCATGAAGCTTACATTGTTTCTAGACCATTAGCTGCCCTCAACACCTTTGGTAACCTGTTGCTCTATGTAGTGGTTAGCAATAACTTTCAGCAGGCTGTCTGCTCCATAGTGAGATGCAAAGCCAGTGGGGACCTTGAGCAAACAAAGAAAGGCAGTTGCTCACACAACCCTTGAGATACATCACTTAATCAAGCAAAAATAAACACCCGGAGTCAGGGAGATGCTGCAGTGCTGTGCACGTGTGGGAACTTGCGATCGAATCTCCAGAACCACATAAACTGGGTGCAGGAGTGAGAATCTGCGATCCTAGTGCACCTATGGTGAGCTGGCCCTGGAAGCTCATGGGCCAGCTAGCCTGCTGTGCACAGCAGCTAACAAGAAAGAGACCTTGTTTCAAACAAAGTAAAAGGTAAAGATCAACACTTGAGGTTGTCCTCTGATCTCCACAAGAGTGCTGCCTCACACCCACACCCACACTCACACACACACACAAGAACACACACATATATGCACATATCATTTACACATATACATCACACTCATACACTTCAATCAACCAACCAACCAACCAGTCAATAAAAGTCTGCTAATACTTTTTATATAACCTCGAGAAGCCCAGAATATCTCCCTCAGTGGAACTTCCAGTAACTACTATGCATCCAGGTCACTAAGAGCCAGAGTCAAAAGCAGGGCTCTTAAGAGTCCTGTGCGATCTGCTTATTGAGGTCATCCATTGGATAGAGAATGAGATGCATGAGTATCATCAGTAAGGTATTTACAGGATTAGAAACCATGAAACTCAGAGAATCTCTGTTCTTACCGAGTTATTGCCTCCACATGGAAACTAGTATTTATATATGAACCCCAGATCTCCCAGTTACTTAGTGCCAGAATAGGAAACGCCAACCCAAACCAGAACAAACAAAACGAGACAGAAGCAGTTTTTCATTTCTAGCTTCATATTCTTTCCTACTCTGGTATTTGTTTTTACTGAAACCCTAGATCACTCAAAAATGCTACTTGTATCTTCTTCAATATTTATATTTTACATCTTATAGCTTTACAATTTATTTTTTGGTCTTTTTGAGACACGGTCTCCCTGTAGCCTCAGCTGGGCTGGAACTCACTATGTAGATCAGGCTGGCCTTGAACTCACAAAGATCCACCAGCCTCTGCCTCCCAAGTGCTGGAATTAAAGGCGTGTGCCACCACACCCAGCTAGCTTTACAATTTTTTCCTTTAAATTTTGTTTAGAGATTTTTGGTCTGGGCTTTGTCTCAAAGTCTAGTCAGTTCTGTAGATTGAAGGAAGACATTAAGACATGCTTAAAAGAGGAGCTAGGGAGATGGCTCAGTAGGTAAAGAACCTGATGCACAAGCATGAAGATTTGAGTTCTGTCCCCAGAACCCACATTAAAACAAAAACAAAAACAAAAACAAAAAACAACCCAGGTGTGGTGGCATGGCATGTGCTTGTAATCCCAGTTCTGGGAGACAGAAACAGGCAGATCTCTGGGACTTGCTAACCAGCCAGCCTAGCCTACTTGGAGAACTTCAGGTCAATGAGCAACTATGTTTCCAAAAACAAGGGGTATAGTTCCTGAGGTAGGGCAATCAAGGTTGGCTTCTGGTCTCCACATGCACAAACACACATGCATGCACCCATAAGGAAACAGACACACAGACACATGCACGCATGCACACATGCACACTTAAAATAGTTAAAGGAGTTTAATGAAATAGCAAATATCTGGAATTAGTACCATGAAGATATTGGGAGTATTTTGACTTTGCTATTGTAGGCCACCTTAAAAGCTGTTGAATATATAAAAATTATTAAGTTTTATTAGTAATTATCAACATGACCTAGGGAAGGAGCGGACACATTGATGAAACAAAAATACTTTCAATTATCATGCACGTATGAGTTTGTCCACTGGAGCCTGGTCAGCCTATCTAGTGTCACTTTCTTAAAGAAGACCAAGTCTCCCTCACCTAGCAGGGATCAGCAGCCAATAGTTCCTCAGCTAAGGCTGGGGCCTCTTATCCGTTGCCCCAGTTCTATGCTGGGTTTTTGTCTGGTTTGAATTTGCATGAGTCTTGTGCATGCTGTCCCCATTGCTGTAAGTTCATATGAGCAAGTCCTAAAAACTGTCTCCTTGTGGTCATCCGCCGCCCCCGGCTCTTACAATCTTTCTGCCCCCTCTTCTGCAATGGTTCCTGAGCCTTGGGTGGGGGAAGTTTAATATAGGAGTCCTATCCAGGGACACACATTGTACAGTCTCTTATGCTTTACATTTTGGCCAGTTGTGGCTTTCTGTGTTCATTGTCCTCTGTTGCATGAGGAAGCTTCGTTGGTGAGAGTTGAGAGATACATTTGGGGACACAGACTTGATAGGCCTTAACGTATATAACAGAATGCATGAAATCCAGTGGAGGGGGGCTATGGGAGGGTGCAGATGGGGGAGGCGTCTAATAATTAAGATGTATTGCATGATGTGCACAAAAATTCACCAAAATATTTATTGAAAAAAATCATACAAGGTATGCATAATATGAAGAGAAAAATAATTTGTTAGTGAAGAATATTTATTTTTTTGCTTAAAAATACCATGCATGCATTGGGTGCTAAATCAAATCTAACATTTCTTTGATTTCCTTCAGTAAACAATAATTCTCTGTGGATAACTTGATCTTTTAGGATTATGATGAAAAGACATGTATTAAGACAGCTAAAGTCATTCTTGAATTGTGTGTGTGCTTAATTATTAATAAGTGTAAATATTTGAGAAAATACCTGGTCTAGATATTTAAAACCCCAGTGAATGCATTTGATACAATAAATAAACTTAAAAACAACCACTGTCCAAACTGGTCATATTTTTTCAATGAAAATGCAGCTTATTAATTATTTTATTTTATTTATGTTTTTTTTAAGTGGTAAGAGAAAGTTTATTCTGGAACCAAATATGAGTGACCACGGCCTGGGAATACAGATTTAGGTTACCCCAAATTCCATGTTCCAGCATGGAAACAGTTACATTATGTTTTTATATTTTAATTAAAATTTTGTATTAAATTTTGAGAATTTCATATGATATATTTTGATCATATTTAGATCCCTTCCCTATCTGCATTCCCTTATTATCCTCTGCCTGATTTCATGTACTCTATTCTACATATACATACGTATATATATCAAGTCAAATTTGTGTCCCCAAATGCCCTTTGGTGTGGGTCCATTCATTGGAGTCTGGTTAACCTACCCAGACTCATATCCTTAAAGAAGACTGACTCCCCTCATTCCAGCAGCTCTCAGTTACCAATAGTTCCTCAGCTAGGGTTTGGGTTTCTTTCCTACTTCATCACTTCTGTGCTGGGTTTTATTTTTGGCTTGATCTTACATGGGACTTGTGCATGTTATCACCATTGTTGTGAGTTCATCTGAGTAAGTGCTAAATTTCCTGGAAAACTGTGTTTCCTTGTGGTCATCTACCTCTCTGACTCTTCCAATCTTTCTGCCCCCTCTTTCACAATGATCCCTGAGCCTTGGTAGACAGAGGGTTGATATAAGTGTCCTATGCAACCTAAGTACTCTGTAGTCTCTTAGTCTCTGCACATGGGCCAGCTGTGGGTCTCTGTGTTAACTGCCTTGTGATGCATAAGGAAGTGTCATGGCTGAGAGTTGAGATATGCATTAATCTATGGATGTAACAATAAGTCATCGGGAGTCAGTTTAATAATAATAATAAATATATACATATATAGGTATATAATGAGCAGGCTAATAGTATTAGCCTTGTGACCTGTCTAGCCACAAGTTCCTAGGCCCAATATCAGTGCTATTTTGGTCCATTTTGTGAAGCAGACCTCAAATCCAATCAGATCATTATTTTATTGACAAGAAAGTTATTTTATCCGTGGTTAGAGAACAAAAAGAATTTGAAAATCAGATGTCCAATAAGGTTGGAACACACATGGCTTTGGAAGAAACAAGGGCACTATTGGATTCTCTGTGACGTTCAGGGTTTTCTAGGATACTGCATCTGACTTAGACCCAAATGAGGATGTTTTTCAAGGACCTCTTCCAGACATTTGGGATGGGATGAGGGAAAAAGAGGAAGGCTTGTGGCCATGAACATCAGCTTCCCTGAATGAGTGCACTCCTCTTAACCATCCCAGGCTAAGCATTCTCTCATGAGCTTTTTTGTAACATGGAATGTTATTTCACTAGCGGGCCTGAAGCGCCCCTCATGATGGCCCATGGTTGGGAGTAGTAGAGAGGGCCACTGGAACATGGCAGCTTTCTGCCTTTCCCTTTCCTCCTTTAGTGTACAACCCTGATGCTGGGCCATCACTCAAGTGTACCTGAGTGAGACTCTCCACTACTGCTGTGCTAGCCTAACCCTGGGAACTAACTCCTTGTCATTACTTTCCAGCTTCATCTCTTCTTATGTCAAAGACTTCTCCCACCAGAGAAAAGCAACCTCATCCCCCTTCATGCCCATCCTAACTTGTTTATATAATTTATTTTGTCCTTTTCTTCCCACCAAAGTACAGGCAAATAAATCACTTCTCTTATTCTATTGTCTATATGGCCTTATTTTGCTGTTTAGGGAACTGACTCCAACACTAAATACCACTTTTTCCAATTTTTAACATTTTTATTACCCTGGAAAATTGACCTCAGCTCTGGGGCATGCATGATTTCCCACTATCCCCACAACACCTTTTGCTTGATTCAGCTTTCTGTCATTCTATTACCTGACTGCTTCCCACAGTGATGGGCAGGTGCAGATGACAGTCTGCCCTCTGGGGTTCTGCTGAATGAACATAATGACAAAGACACAAGCTAAATTGAATTCAAAGGGTCAGTTTTACTTTCCAAAGTAGAGGTCTGGATTCATTGGGCTAGAGGTTGCATTTTGAACTGAAGAAAAAACAAAAAGGATGGATGATACTTCCTAAACTACAGTGGGAGCTGCATGACCTTGCCTCTTACAAACAGTCAACAGGCAGAGAAAATGTAAGAATTCAAGAGCAGTGCTCAGGCTGTGAGAACCACAAGGAAACTCCTGGGTCTGCTCAACCATGAAAGGCTGGAAACTCAAGCAAGACTCATTATACCTGAGTAAAGGAATCCAGAAAAAAGCTACTTGAAACTGAGACACAGTAGCTCCTCTGCTTTCTTTGCATCACAA